TGTGAAGTATATAGAATAAATGAATTTGAACAAAGAGCTGGGCCAGAAAATAATACAGGAATAGGTAATGTAGTATGTATTTTTAAATATATATTTGATATATTTATCCAACAAAGTCAAGTGAATTTTTAGTCAATTTATATTTGGCTTTCCTAACTAACATGGAGAAATGCCTCAACAATGGAGTTAATTATTACTGTTATGGACAGATTCATGCCCTCGTGGTATTTGAGAGTAGGCTCTTTCAGTTTTTCATATATTTGACAAATAATCCCAAAATAGATTAAAATCTAATATTTTTACATCAGGAAAGAATCTATATGAAAGTAGCCTGTGTGCTAGATAAGGCAGATGTCACACACACAAAAATAAGAGTCTTGAAAAATACATTTGTCCATGGTGTTCTTGGGAGGAAACCAAAATAATGAAGGTGGGAAATTTTGGGGAAAGGTTGGTCAAAGTAACTGTAATCTTCAGGTATTAATTAAATTAGAAAATGAGAGAGAGAGAGAAAAAAAAACTTACTGGTTTTATTTTACTTATAAGTAGGATATTCTACAATACAGAAAGAGAGTCTTAAATTCTTTTCTACCCTATCCCACCAATCTTCCTTGAAGAGATTCCAGCAATGGACTGTAGGAAAATGGAGTGTGGGTAACCAATTTACAAAATGCAGGTTTGGAAAAAAAATAACACTGCTTTGAACATGAAAGTCAATCAGGATCAGAAACATTTTACCTGCTTTCACTTAAATCTCCAGTCCACTTTTTCCTGCATGTTTAGGGCACAGAACACAGAAACAGAAACAATGGGGCCATGGGGGGAGTACTACCTCTAAATATTTTGAAGGAAACACATTGGCATGCTCAATGTAATTTTCTGTGACTAAAAGAAAACTAGGTATTTGGATAATCTACCAATTAAAAGGTAGACTATGAAGCTTAAAATATTCATTTCCTATTGTCCTACTTCTGGTCTTCCCACTATGAAACATTTACTTTACTCAATCAATACAGACATTTATAAAACTATCATGGAATTTAAAAGGTGGAAAAAGTCTTCAAATCTTAATGATAGTTATCCTGCTTTCCAAATGCACGTTCATCCCATTATAGAAATATGGGACCAGAGCGGGAATCTGCTTAGTCCAAGGTTTCATCCAATGTAAGTCAAAATACTCCAAAGATTTAAATATAAATGTTTATGGACATTCTAAACTATCACATGAGCAGCCCCTGAAAGTTCATGTAATTCTGACAAGTCAACACAATTGAAAAATACTGTCATATTGTTTTAAACTGAAGAATAAACAGCCATTAAGTAGAGACATCTAGAGTTTTATATAAGAAATAACTAGCTACCAATTACCAATCACCTATTGAAATCATGGCCCTGAGTAATAGTTTGATGTAAAAAGTAAATGATTAAAATTTGAGAAATTTTAATATGTTGATTCTCTATTCACTAATCTATTGGATTAATGTCCTGCTTATTATGAAATTCAAATAGGGAAGCATTTGTTAAAATAGTTCTGATGGGGTGTCAATATTTCATTCACAGCCAGTGACTGTTTAGTCCAGGATGGTATCTATGTGCTATCTCATTTAACCTTCAGACTACTTTTACACTATCATTCAAATTCGTGGATAAGAAATACGATATAAGCCATATTCGAACCTATGCTTTCCCAATCAAGAAACTCATTCTTTACCTGGGTAGTGGTGCTGCAGGTGACTTAGAAATGATGGACTGCATTTTACTGCTATTTATAATTTCTAGCCTTGTGTATTTATTGACGGCATTAAGAATTATTTATGTCAGTCTGAAATCATGGACTAGCTCCTGAAAATCCAGGCATGTGATGAGATTGAAATTTTAACTGTTTTTTGTTTAAATTAGTAAAGTATTAATTCTATAATTAGACACATTATGATTTTGGGTTGCATGACATCTATTTAAATCATTGGCAGGTACAAGTGAACTGTCACTCTGTATCTCAGCCTCATGACCAAATGTCATCTCCCTGATTCTCAAGGTGCAGTGACAGAAATAACCCTCTTCTCTGAAGAAAGCCATCAGGAAGGCATCAGAATGCATCAGTGCTTTCTGGTGTCTTTGAGAGGCTTCTCTCTTTTTCTCCTGAGAGGCATGATTTCACATTCTTGAAGTTGGAAACTCCTGGTTATACAGAAAAATAATGATAATGTTACATAGAAAAACAGGGGAAAAAATGGGTGGTTTTTATGATCGAGGCACTGTCATTAAGTAAACATGCAGTCCCCAGATCAGTTTAGGAAGTACATAAATGCTGTCATTTTGTCACACGAAAGTGTGACCCTTAGGTAACTTAAGGACCTTAAAGTCACATATCTAAAAATGGTTAGAGCTTGATTTGAAATTTGAAAATCTGACTTCAAAGATAACATACTTTAACCATCATATGGAACTGTTTCTCACTAAAATATTAAAATACATTGTAAGTGAAATCATCAAAATAAATGCAAAGATGTAGTGGGTAGCCATTCAAGCTTTGATCTGGAAGTTCCAACCCCCATTGAGGCTTTGGTAACTGTCACGCCTACAAGGCGGGGCCAAGGGAGGGCCCTGAAGACCCAAGATCCAGATGGGCCAGCTCTCTCTGTTCCTGGACCCTGGACAGTGGAGGTTGACCGAGCAGAGCTCCAGAGAACACAGCTGGACTGCAATACACCTTCCCCAGACCCTGCGACCTACCTATCCCTTCATTTGTAAGTTACGACACTAATAAACTTTCCTTTTAACTATGTGGAGTGGCCTTAATAATTACACCAATACAAAATCATTCTTCAAAATGATAGTTCAGTGACCTAATCAATGTCTAGAAGAAGAAAAATTATTTCATGAACATAGCAAGAATCCAAGATGGATCTTGGAGGACAGGGTAGTGCTGTGAATGTCTTTCTGTATGCTGTGAATATGTGTTGCTCTGATCAGTTGATAAATAAAGCTGTTTGGCCTATGGCAAGGCAGCTTAGAGGCAGATGAGAAATCCAGATAGACAAGAAAAGAAAGGAGAGCAGAGGAGATGCTGCTAGCCGCCGCCAGGAGAAGCAGGATGTAAAAGTACCAGTAAGCCACAAGCCATGTGTCAAAGTATAGATTTATAGAAATGGGTTAGTTTAAGATATAAGAGCTAGCTAGTGAGTAGCCTGAGCCAATAGGCCATATCATTTGTAAATAATACAAGCCTCTGTGTGTTTACTTGGGTCTAAGTGGCTGAAGACCAGGTAGGACACAGGAAAACTTTCAGCTACAAGGTAGGATTTGAATTTTGGTCACAACTCTCATGTACTGTTTCTCATTACCTTTTTCTTGTTTTTTTTTTTTTTTTAATTTTCTCATAGTTTAAAGTTAGCTCAAGACAACTATATAAACCAGTTTTTCAAGCCCACATATCAATGTGCCACTGCTGTATAAACCAATCTTCTCTAAACACATAATTTACTTTAGAACTTGTCATCACTATTTACTTATTAACAAACAATGTATGAGAATGACATATCAATTATTCAATCACTTTAAAATTTAAAAGCAATTAAATGCAAATGAATGGAAAAAGCTGTGAATGGATTCAATGACACAGATGAATCTCATACATGTAATTTTTAGTGAAAGTAGCCAGATACATAGAACAAGACTATATTAAGACTAAATTAGATAAGATGGAAACACTAGACTAGACAAACTTAGTTGTTAGAATTTAGGATAATGGCTAGTCCTGATAAAGGCAGCCACAGGAATCTATCACTATTGTGATTTTTTTTAATGTGATGGTTATGCCTTATAAATGCTTCATTGTCATATGACAACACAAAAAACTTCATTAAAAGCAATACTTCATCTAAAATTGTCATTTTGTTCTTACTTTAACATTACTGTATTTCTTGCAAAAAAAGATTAAAGTAATTTGTTTTAGAAAGTTAATAATATTTCTATGTAAAGTTGCAAATTACTACTTTTCTAATTAAAATGTTTCACAAAATATTTTGACAGTCATATTTCTTTATGTATAAACAATAAACCACAAATTTATATAATTTATAATAAAATACATAGCTCATGGTTTGTATTAAGTTTTTTTTATTTGTGCAACTAATACCACAATAAAGGTATAGATTGATCCATTACCTGCAAAATTCCTTCTTACTATTCAGTAGTGAAACTTGCCCCTGAAATTCTAGCTTTTGGCAACTCTGACTGATAATCTGTCCCTGAAGTTTCATCCTTTTCAGAGTTTGATATAAAAAGGAAACCATGTAGTATGTATTTTTAACAGTCTGGCTTCTTTCACTCAGCATAATGAATTTGGGATCCATCCATGGTATGTGTAGCATCAATTTCTTCCTTTTTATTACTCAGGCATTTTGCAATGCATGGATATATCACAACTGGATAGCCTAAGTTTTTTCCAGGTTTTTTTGATTGTGATTAAAGCTACTGTAAATATTTGTGTCCCGAATTTTGCATAAACATAAATAATATATTCTGTTCTTATATCGCCAATATATGCTTTAACATGCACAAAATACTTTCCATATTGCATTGATATATGATAATTTTTCCATCTGAAACAGTCAGTTCAAAATAACACAAAATCAGAGATTAAATTCAAATTAAATAAAGCATTCTATAAGTATCAATCAACACTTTCAAATTTCTCCTTTAGGAACTTTGAGTTTTGAAATTGTGTATAAACTTAAGAATATTCTGTTGAAATTCCAAGATAATTACTAATTTTTTTAAGTGTATAAAATTTAAAATCATGGCATTACTAATTAAAACTCTGAAATCATAACAAACGAAGGTAAAATTAAGAACTGATTTTAAAAGCAAAGTGTTCTCAGTTCTGCTGTAACTCTCATTTAATGTATTAAAACTTCAGTCCAATTGGTTAGTAATTTTGTCTGGTGGTAAAGAAGGAAAGAATTTGAGTGATAAAATGGAAACATGGTTGATGTTACCTAGCATGTTGTGGTAAAGTGGAATGGCCCGTCCATGGGTAGTAAATGCAGTCATGACTAGTGGGACCGTTACACCTGCAAGCAATTACAGAACAGAAACCATCACTCTCCAGTCACAGTGGCATGCACACACATGCACCAGTGCTCACGCATGGAGCCTCGGAGGAAGAAGATGAGAAGTAAGCACACCAAGTACCTATCCATCAGGCCGATGCAATCTTCAATACTTGAGCCTATGCATCTGCAGAGATTCAGATGTCAAAGAGATACAAGGAAAGAGAAATCAGTCATCAAAAAAAAAAAAAAAAAAACAAAAAACTAAGCAAGATAAACACTAAATGTACCAAATCCTTTATTTTATTATTTGGCAGCTTGAGGAGCAGCATAATTTTAGAGACTGAGAGAAAAATTATTTGTTGGTGGGAACACAGAAGTGAATTGAAATAACCTCTCAGGTACAAAGCCAGGAAACATGAAAACAGCAATGGAAATTTTACCTGCTCCTGTGGATAACTTTCATAAACAGTCATTTCCGAAACCTTCAGTCCTTTTGCATCTTTCATCACTACACACAGCTGGATTAATTACCTGAGAGTTCGGTGACTATAGATATTTTCAGGTACATCATTTCTCTTAAACCACCATTAAGTTTAAGCAATATCCAAAAAAATCAATAAAAAGGCAATAAACAATTGAATGTAATATAAGAGCCTTATGTTTGATGTTCATTAAATATGGATCTTGGCAGAAAATAAGTTAATATATTTTAATGTAATTCCCATGGATATTTTACATAATCAGATTATTTCAATCCTTGGTTATGAATCTCTTCAATTTTTATCATTAAACATGCATTTATTTAAAAAGCAAATGAACTGATTTGGCCCTCATTGCAGTACATCTTGATGACCACTTTTAAACAGCAAAAACATGACCTGTAAACATAAATATTTAAAATAATATCAAAATATTCAACTCCAACAAAAGCAAATAGATATTCTGTAGTAAATGAATAAACACACAGAGGTAGCTGAGGAATCTATAAAGATGAAAATTTGATGAATGTATTTAAATGCACAGAATTCTAATATAGAGTCCTTAGAATTTCATTTTGGGCCATTATGGAAATGTTTCTTCTATTTTCCAATGTATTTAAGTTGAATTTCTTATTTCTCTTCATCTTCTCCTCAAACATAAACAGCTTCTGGGGGGGGGTACGATTTATAGGAGTGCTTAATTTGAGTGGTAATAGAGAGTATACATGTTTTTCTAAACTCTGAGGTTTAAAAACTGGAAAAGGAGCTTTAGATATGAAGAGATGTGGACAGACCATGAGCAGCTTCTGTAACTGACTCCAGATGCTAGTAAGCTAATAGAACTCATCTGATAACTTAAGTAACCATCTCTCTGCTCATTCCTCATCTGCTGTAACATTGCTACTATGTAGAAAATCAGTTCACTGTAATTTTTTTTGAGGATCAAGTTTGAGCAGCAAAAGTAAATTTTAGTCTGAGAAAATGTCACAAAGTTCTATGAAATAAAGAGATAAGATAAGAAACAACTAAATCACACACCATTGACTTGGTTCCATACATTAGATCTAATCAGAACAATTTTTAATTGGAAAATTAAAAAATACTAAAAATTCCTACAATAGCCTCATATGATTTTCTTTTATTTTGTTCTAAAGAGCTGTTTTTTATTGTGTTCCTGTGATATCCCCTTCCAAATGCTATATTTATAACAGTACTGCCATTTTGTAAAATTAACAGTATTACTGCTTACTTTGCAAGAGAGAGTCTGAAAAGCTGTAGTTTGTGTGTAATTTTTATAATGACCCTTGAAAGATTAAAAACGTTCCACAGTGAAATTCTGTTTGAGGAGAGAGTGTGAATAATGAAATGTCTTCATTCCTTCAATAAGCCTATGTGATGAGTCTACTAAAGTGCTTGTACCCTTCAAGGAGCTGCAGGAGTGAATAAGATGAATTAGATGCTTTTTTACTTATTTTCATTGAGCTCACAGTTTGCAGATGAGAAATGTATGAGTACACATGTAGAGTACAGCTCTGTGTGTATATTATGGAAGCGGGACACTGGTGCGTCCCGCTTTAAAAGATAATAATGGTCACCATTCTGGGAGAAAGTCAGCGATCTGTAGTTTGAGATGTTGAGAGCTTTGGCTGGTGCAACCGTGGTGGTTGGGGAGCACAAAATTGTGGCAAAAGCATAGCTCAAAAGCATTACATGCTCTGAACAATGTTTCTAAGTCGACAGAGAGAATGATGGCAGGCACAGAGAGGAAAAGAGGATGGAAGACCTTTAGGAGTCAGATGTGGTAGGCTTTAACTTAGTAGGTAATGGAAAGCCACAGTGTAGTTTGAAAAAAGCTATGCTTGTCTGAATGAAAAATGTGGTAAAAATATACACAATGAGAGTGTTTTTCAATCACGGGGAACAAAGTTATATAATTTGCAAGAAAATCTGTGCAACTGGAGATCAATTTATGAAACAATTAAGCCAACCTCAGAAAAAAAAACAAATATTGTATTTTTTCTCATTTGTGTTTCCTAGACCTTAAACAGCAATAAAAAATTATATACATATATACATGACATGAAAAAAGTGAATCCTAGGGGAACAAAGAGGACTAACAGAATGAGGAGGAGTGAGAAAAAAGAGAATAGAGGAATAAGGACAGATGTGCTCAGTGTACAGTATATACTTGTATGAAAAAGCTAAAAACATTAAATTTTGAAAGGCTACCCTGAAAAATCAAGAAAGATTGATAGCAAAAGGAAGCCACTACATTGTTAAATTTGTATCTGAAATCTCTTTGTAATGTGAAGACCAGTTATATGGGAACCAGTTAGGCTATTTAGGCATGGAGAACAGTAAGTCCATGTCAGAAACAATGGAAAAAAGTAATAGTAAAGTTACTAGCTTACAGGGAAATGCAGTTTCAATAAATGCCAGTAAAGTAATGAGTTTCGGAGGAGAGGAGTTGACAGACACAGTTATAATTCTAAGTGAAAAATGATCAAATGATGTAAATATGTTCTATAATTTATATTTGAGGAGAGTTGTCCCAGCAATGAAAAATCCAAAGGTTGGACATGTTTCCTCATATGTGTATTTTAGGAGGAGGCAGTGATACTTGCGTTTTTTGCTTTCTATCTAGAATTTACTGTTTATTGCATGGGTAGTTAGCAATTTTCCTCAACAAGTGCTAAGGAAAGTTTTGAGCCATGGTGGTAGTGAGAAACACTTTTGAACTAGAACACTAGAAAGAGTTGAAATGGTGATAGTGGAAAGATGGCTGAAGAACACAGGACATGGAAAAAAATCCAATGCCAAAAAGGAAACTCAAGGACCTCTAATGGTAAGGCCATAAGACAGTCTTTTGTATCTAAAGCATGGGAAAGTATAATTGAATAAAATTGGGCTGGACAAATACCTCAATAGGTATGCTGCACACTCATGAGGACTGGGGGTTGGACTCCAGAACCTATGGAACAATCTGGGTGTCCTGCTAATGGATGGACACAATTCCAGCTCTAAGGGAATCTACCAATCTTCTTCTAGCCTCTGGGTGCATATGGGCACTGAAACTCATACAAACTCATATACATACATATATGTATATAAATAAAACAAATCTGAAAAGTATGCATTGTTACTGTAAAGAATTTAAAAACTAACTAGAAAAATAAATCTAGAGGTTGGCCAACAGACTCAAATTCAGGGAGAAGTAGCAAAATTAGAACTTTAAAAATATTGTGTCTACACCAAGGTCTTTATGTTGATGTAAGTTGAGAAGCACATTGCAGACAGGACAATGAATTCAAGCAGAAATGATGAGGGATTGATAGAACATGAACATGGGTCAAGAAAAGTTGTTGAGGATATTACGTAGGGTATTTGAGATTCAAATGTGTTTCTAAAATGAGGGTTATAGAAACAAATGAAGATCAAGAAGGATGTGGGTCAATGAATGTGGGGATGCTTTTTCAAAGTATAAACCCTCATGATTTAAAGATACCATTGTACTTTAGGTTCTTCATAGATAATATATAATATATATATTATATATATGCAGCTACTCAAAACATAAAATTTGATTAAGCAAGATCACAGGATAAGAAAAACATCCAATTTTGAAGCACAAAAAATAGCAAGGGGCCAAAAATAGGACCAGGAATAAAACCATTCAAAAATTAGTATTCCAAAGTACAATATTTATAAAAATAGCAGAAATTCGTAACATTTTTACACACTCCAAAACCATGTCTAGAATTCTGGATAGTGAGACAAGTTTGACTTACGTTGGTTCATGATACATAAATGCCTTGACATACCTACATGACAAGCATAATTCAGATATTTGCGAAAAATCTCCAATTTTTGAAATGAAAATGAAGGCTATTTTTAATTTTATCAATATAAAAGCTACAGACTTAGTTCTACAAGCAGATTTTCTGTCTATCATTGTATCAATGGATATTTTTCAGTATGTAAACTTGAAAATTAGAAAAAAATGAATTAATAAAAGATACTAAAGTGCACGCCAATAAAACTTTAAGTGAGGTTTTAAAAACAACATTCAATGAAATGAGCATTGCAATCCATGTCTACAATGCAAATTTGGATTAAAATAAATGGAAATGAAGTAAATGTTAAATTATCACAAATTAAGCAATGTCACTGTAGAGAACAATGTACTCATTGTGCATTATGGAATACATTTAGTTAATAAGTTCTCTTTAAGCCACAGATACTACCAATTATAAATATTATTATTGCACTTCAAATTCGTTCTTTGTTTTGTATTGTTGTTCCTTTTTTTTTGTTTTGAGACAGGGTGTTACTGTGGAGCCCTGGCTCGCATAATTACTCATTATGTATGACAGGCTGGCCTCAAATTTACAGAAATTTTCTTACTTCTACCTCTTAAGCACTGAGATTTAAGGTGTGTGTCAACATGACCAAACTTTAATTTTTAAATTTCTTTTATTATTATTTCTTGTTCAAACTCTTAACCATCCTTTCAACAACGTAAATGTGAGTCTTACAGGTCAATGGCTGTGTCTTAATTATAAACATGACTTATGATAAAAAGCAGATCTCTTAGGTAGCTTTAATTGTCAACTCGACACAGACTAGAATCATCTGAGTGGAAAGTCTTGATGGAGGATTACCTAGATAGCACTAGCTTGTGTGTATATCAAAGGGGAATTACCTTGATTATTAATGGATGCAAAGGGACTAATCTCATTGTGGGTGGCACCAACCCTAGGCAGGTGGTCCTGGACTGTATAAGAAAGCTAATTAAGCAAAGAATTTTTGACCATCCTGTTGGCACTGATCCTCCATTCTCTTTGTTTTAAGCACCAGCTTGAATTTCTGCTCTTATGTACCTCAATGATGGACTGTGACCTGGAAGTGCAATCTGCAGTAGACTTTTTCCTACTCCTCGTTGCTTTTGGGGATGGTATTTGCAACAGCAACTGAAAGAAGACCACTTGATTATCATGCATCCCATAGAAGAGGCTAAAGAATGATTGAGATAAGAAGAGACATGTTGATAAAATATGGCCCCTATTCAAGGCAAGAGAAGACAATATATTTTCTTTTCTCTTCCTCCCTCCCTCCCTCCTTCCTTCCTCCCTCCCTCCCTCCCTCCCTCCCTCCCTCCCTCCCTCCCTCCCTCCCTTCCTTCCTTCCTTCCTTCCTTCCTTCCTTCCTTCCCTTCCTTCCTTCCTTTTCTTCTGTCTACTAAGGATACTGGTGAGGAGTTTTCTAATCAGGACTAAATGGTTCATCTTTTAAAAAATTACTTGAATAATTTTTAGAGTCAATTTATTTAATGTACTTTTGGAGTAGTAAGAATATATTTAAGGTATTAGATAATTTTATTTTCAGGAAAATCATTAAACTTATTCAAACTAAGATCTTATTTCTTAAAAAGATGTAATTGGAAAGAACAGTTCCATTAGCTTGGTTATTGAATGACCTGATAAACATTGACATGTAGAAGGGAATCTGCTTCCAGAATTAGAAGTGGTCTGGTGAGAGCTCACACTTACTCATATGGTCAGTTAATAGATGAACTAAGGAATAAAAAAAGAACCATTCATTCCAGCATTCCCTCTGTTCTGTGATCTGTCACTGGATCATAGCTCTATGTGCTTACACTCAATTTGAAAAGAGGAGATGAGCTGCCCAGGATGCCTCTTTTCTTCAGTACAAGACGCCAAAGCACAGTGGGTATGCTGTGATCTAGTTCATACAATGTAAGAATTCCTGAATTCTCCTCAGGAGCTGGAATCAACTACACTTTCATGAAGTCAGTGAAAGTGAATATGGAGGTTATGAGGAAGGGGAAGCTCAGTGAAAGCAACAATAAGACCTCAGAGCAAAGTCATCCTTGGAGACATATTACCCTGGAAGGTGCTATGAAATACAACATTTTCTGTCTCACTGTTATTCTGTAGCCAGGAGCTGTTGAGAGTATCTTTCTTTTTATTTAGAGCTCCCCATTAAACCTCAGCTTCCCTTTTGTAGGGGATCCCAGTTCTGTTGCTATAGTCATTTGAACCCTTTCCATTGGCCTCAACTCCTGCCTCCCTCTACTATATATGCCTTCCTTTATTATACAGCCATGATTTTAAAAGGCTGACGAGGAAGACACTCCAGCCACACATCCAGACTAGGCTCTGTGTCTCACTTTCATTTCCCTAATGGTTTCATTGTAATTAGATTTGCAAAAACAGCAAAAGGTCTCATTTTGAATGGCAACAGCTGTTGACATCGACATTATATTGAATAATTTACTGGTTTAATTTTAGTTGCAAAACAATAAAACCCTCTTGTGGATGATTTTCACAGGCAAAGTTTTTCTCTTACTCTTGCTGACTCTTCTGCTCCAGCAGCATAGAAGTTTTTTTTGTTTTTTTTTTAAATAGTCTCAACTCAAGTGTGCCAACACTCACAAGGGGAATTGTTTATTACTTCTGTTTTCCTTGAAGCAAAGTGTGTAGGTGACTGTCTCAGTGCCCTCAACCTGTGTGTTTATGTAGACACCAAGGAGTTGGCAAGCAGCTCTTCTACGCTGCGTTTGAATCTGTGTGGCAGAATATTGCTTTGCCTTCTAAGGATCTGCCACTTCACAGAGTGACTTAGCTGATTTTGTGACCTGTAGGAATTTATAGCAGCATCCCAAAATTGATGTTTTCTTCACAGGAAATAATGTTGCTCGCTTCACTTTTTCAATATCTTCTAACAGCTAGGCCTTAATCTGGCGGGACAATCTTTTCACAGAACCTCTACTTTCCTCCTGGATATAAAGTGCCCAAGATAACTTCTCAACAAGTGTGTGCACACATGTGTGCATTCTGTTCCTACACTGAGGGTAAGCACTCACAAGGTAGGTGAGGTTTTATGGTAAGAGGATGGAGTGAGTTAAACTGCTCTCAATTCTAACAATATTGACCTTTTAGAGGAAAGAAGGGGAACATTATTACTGAGATAAATTTGTCTTAAGAAATAGATTGGAATTTGTTAGAGGGGACATTATTTCCTTTCATACACAGTGTTATTTCTTTAATGTCTCCATCAATGGCCATAACACTGAACAAAACAATCCCCCTGATTTGTGTTTATCCAACTGTTATCAATATCATAGGTTATGCTGCACAACATAGGTTATGCTTCTTAAATAGAAAATATGTATATATCTTTCTGAATTGTTTCATGACAATCAGAGAACTCTATGTTATAGGAAAACTACAATAAAACAACTCACACCACTACATTAGTTATGTTGTGAGCACACATATGAGCAGGTTATTCTGTTTTTTTTTTTTCTCTGCCATGATTGCCTAGGATCAGATTTCATTGGACTAATCCAAGGCAGGAATTTTTAAAGAGATAGTCTCATTTTAAGTTTTGACAGTAAGAAATAGAAACCATACCTTTAATATAAAATACCTCTATAATACAAGTACTATAATGTCTCTTCTATATACTGAATCTATTATAAGACTGGATGATTTTTAGACTGCATCCAAAGCACACTAGCTTCATGAAGGAGTTAATAAGGAGGTTATAGGTAAATGATAATTGGAGATATTTCAGTGGTTCACCTAGAAAGAATTTCATTTAAAATCACCATGAAAATTACAAAGATAAATAGCATTTCCTGAGACTATTTTAATGTAAGTAGACATCATCAGAGATATTGATAACTGTGTTCATCTTTTCAACTGGAAACATGTCCATGGCTTAGTCCTTGACCAGCAAGGATGCTTACCCTTGGGTGCAGTTTGGATGGCATGGGTGGCATTCCCGATCCTGATCTGCATACTTGAAAATGAAACTGTTTGCTCCCTGTAGGCCATCTGGACATTTCTCCACACAGTTTGGACCATCCTTAAAATGAGAACACTTCGTGCAGTTGTCTGGTCCCTGAAATATGGAGAAGAAAAACATCTGGAGAAAGAGAAATGCATTCAATTCCCTCGGAAAGGCATTTATGTGGTTTAGTTCCTTAGAATTTTGTGAATGACAAATAAACCTTCCTGTAGGGAGAGAACATGTCCATCTGTCCTTCAATACCAACATGGATGTGGCTATTGAAGCATGAACAGCAATAAGGGAACCTTAAAGGTCTTCTTTGCTATGTTGTATGGTGAGTCATCATACTATCATCATACTAGCAAGTATCTTCTAGAAGCACCCTGCGTTTGAAATCAGCTGTTCTCAGTCCATCTCTTCTCCATGTCATTTCTCTAATGTGACTTAATTTGAACTAATATTTCCCAATGGCTTTTTCAAAAGGGTATCAACGTTTTCGTCTTGTGGTTAGTTCCTAATGGTATTATAGAGTAACAGCATGTGTTTATAATAAATTTTCCACAGGTATGTTTTATTACCATTACTGGGAATACATATATCCACAAAATAGTTAATGAGAAATAATGCATGATGGAAATTAAAATACACTGCTCTTCCTGGGTAACAGTCTTTCCTAATGACAATTTGAAAAATAAACTTTAAAATGCACTATGATTGAATTATCAGGTATTAGGCATCCTAGACTTATAAAAAAATTCCTTGGTTATTTTTTGCTGATCATCTTATGCTGATGCTTAAAAGGAAATGATACACACTTATATGGAGTTTTGCCAACCACAGGACAATCTTTAGAGCCATAAAATGTACATTCTGAAAAGCAAATATTAAAAATTATATAATAAGAATTATAAAATTAAAAAAAACTATATGGAGAAATTTATCCAATGATGACAGTAACATGAACATTATTAATTAAAATATAGTGAACCCACTTTATATATTTTCATTTATAATTTACATAATAATTTTAATAAGTATTTAATTTTTTAATAAGTAGATTATACTTATTTAATTTACTAAGTAGATTTAATAAGTAGAAAATTGATATGTAACAATAATATAAAAGCAATAATAAAAGCAATATGTACTTATTTGTATTATTTATTTTTATTTTTAAGACAGTGTTTCCTGGTGAAGCTCATGGTGTTCTCAAACCCATAATTCTTACACATTAGCCTCCAGAATGTTGGCTTATAGCAATGCATCATTATGCCCAGTCTCAAAATTAACATTTTAATATTAGTTTTAATGTCGAAGAATGTTACTATCCTGACAGTAAGCATACAAGAAACAAGTAGTATATTTTGAGATTGAAGAAAGCTGAGAATACTTTGATTAAAAAAACTACTTTTCTTAAGAAGGGCCTTAATCTCTGCATATTCTGCTATTTTGATTATGTTTTACTTGATATTATTTCCCTTCTTCTTAGGCCCTCTTTGCTTACAGTTCTATGACAATAATATTCCTTTGACCACTTGTTTGGGAATATGTTTGCTTTCTGATCTATTCTTGCTGTTATCTGCATATGTCTGGAAGCCTTAACAATTATTACAGGACACCTGAAGATAGCTTAGATAAGTAGGATATAGTAAGTATTCAGAGACACAATTAAACCAAGTTCTTACTTGCAACTGTTGTGAATTTGAAACCAGGCAGGTGCACATTATGTTGAACTGTTAATTAAGGGATGACTGTGTAGTTTTGTTTATTCATGGGGGTGATTTTAACTATATACAAATGACCTCTCAAACCAGCTAGATATTATAAGTTGGTAATATAAAGTAACACAAAGCAAAAGATAAAGATTGAAGTATCTAATGAAAAATAGCAATGTAAAGAAGAAAAAGTAATCATAAACCAGTGAGCTTAGATCAAGTAGCTATTTATTCCATCATTTTGATGTGAAGCTCAGAGCTAAAATACAATAAAATAATTTAAGTTAACATATGAAACCTAATTCCCATTCTACCTAAAGTATTGCTAATGGTAACTTCTCATTTCCTCTCAAATAAGAATAGTTCACATGCTTCCAATTTTAACACCTGCTCATGGGTACTTAGGCACGTAACACTATCTATTATACGGAATCATTTACTGTGCAAGTATGCTCAGTGGCATGACTTACTCTATAAGACAAGAGACATGCTTATTGTAGAGCACAGAATAAAGCTTACTATAAGTAAATTAAGCAGAATCTGGATTAGGCCTTCTTTTTCTATTAAATTCTTGTAATGTAAAATAATATCCAGGTAAACATCTTAAGATATAAAAATGTCACAAACTAAAATAAGTTAATAGTTAAGTATATTCTAATACAACCAGTTATATTGTGCTTATTTGTTTCACTGTGATACAACACAAAGCACTCTGAGCTGACATAGTTAAAGACATTCTAACAAATCTCTAAGTAGGTGAAGCACTGGCTCCTCTTTCATTTTCATAATGAAAAGAAAAGCATCTAATGCTCACTCTTGTATTGTGCTATCCCCAAGGCTTTTAAAAGTCTAGGTGCAATGAGTGATAAAGTTGTGGAGATGAAGGATGCATTCTTTCTTCTCCTTGGTTCTAAACTGCCTCTGGACCCAATAATCTAGACAGGCAACAATGTGACAGACTAAATCCTGATGTGCGCATTATGTTATTTTTCTCAGTGGCAGTTGATTTTCCCAGGTAGCTTCTCCCGAGAACAAAGCTACTATTTACCACGACACAATAATGTTCTTTCATCCCTGTGGGAAGACTGCCATTCACCTATCAGTGAAGGTAAGATAAAGCTTACTTTGAATGATGAAATGGAAGTAGAAGCCATACATAAGAGGGGGAGGGCTGAACTCTCCAGCCTCCTCTCTCCATGCTACCACTACCAAATGCTTCATGGAAAAGTGGAGATGTTATGAATTCAGAACTTATGAGTCAAAATAGGGTGATAGCTCCTTTTGAATATTTCCAAGACTTTCAGAGTACCCTACATAAAAGGAATTAAATATTTTTTTCTGAGAGCAAAGAAAGGATAGAATTAACATTTAAGCACAACTTTGATGAACCATCCTAACAGCTGCTTTATATTTTGTAAAACATGTTTGAAAGCTCATTTTCCTCCAATCATCCAATTCTTTTTCTTCTATTGCTGCCTCTTCATCCTCTATGTTGACCTCCTGTAACTGATTCACATTCCTTCCTTCCCTTTCCACGGTTCTTCCCTTACCTCTTTCATTGGGTCTATTCAGGGAAGTGAAAGTAGGGACAATAATTATAATTACACATATAATATGTAAATTAAATTGGAAGAAAAACTGCAACAATTGGAAGGAAAAATTTGGAATCATAACTTCCACAATGGAGTTGAAGTTTCACATCTCACTGATTTTTGAAGTAACTCTTTAATCATTATGGGTAAATTTATTTATATTTTAAATGAGGAAAGTCATAATGTTCCTCAGATTTAACAGTATTTGATAAACAGTAGTTATTGATTTTTATCACTATGGAAACTTTGACAAGCCTATGATGTAAAACACACACAAACACACACACACACATACACACACACACACACACACACACACAAACAAATAAAAAACACTTCTCTCTCTCTTTTCTCCCTCCTTACCTCTTCCACCTTTATTTTTTTTTAATCTTCCTTGCCCCTGTAACTTTCTAGTGTTTTGACTTTGTTCTCTTGACATATCAAGTCTCTATTTTCATGCTGCAGAGTGACCTTAGTCATCTGGTCCCATAAGTGCTACCATGATGGAACAAAAATATTTACTATATCTACTTTTCATATCAAATAATTTTGAAGAAAATCAAGACCATTAATTGGTTGGTATTGGGACTCTGATTCTCATACATGTTCAGGAAGTGTCATCACAGACTTTTAATTTTTATAAAGATGTCTAAATCTTTTAAAAGTAATTTGTTTCCATTCCTTTGGAGAACATATAAGTAAGAAACTACACAAATATATATATTAAGATAAATTAATAGCCAGGCTATCCATTAATATAAGTTTGTGTATCAGAAGGCAGATAAGCAGAAGCACATGGAAAGATGGTCGAGTGCTCTGAGCTCTAAACATGCAGAGTGAAATTTTAATTCTGCTCATGATAATGAGAAATTCATTAGCAATTTCAGGATTATTTTTTCATTGGTAGAATGGAGAAAAACACCTAGAAGACAAGGAGAGACAATATATAGGGAAAGACAGCACAGAGGTCTCAAAGCATGTTTGATTTCTGTTAAGTCCCACCCAGCTATAAAGATGATCTACAGTGAGCTTTGTAATTCTCATTTTTGATTAGTAAATAACATGATCATTGAAATTTTTTGACATTTGAAAACTAGTTTAATACAATTAGAGGAATGAAGGACATATGTTGATATCTTATGCATGAAACATCAATTTTTCTTCTTTTTATGTGCATTTGTGTTTTGTCTGCATGTAAGTCTATATAAGAGCATCAGAGCCCCCAGAACTGGAGTTACACAGAGTTGTGAGCTGCTATGTGAATGCTGGTAATTAAACCTGGATCCTCTGGAATAGCAACCAATGCTCCTAACCACTGAGCCATCTCTCTAGCCTGTAACATCAAACGTTTTAAAACAAATATCTCCTATGAAATTATTCTAGCAAAATATGGTGCATTGAATAATTACTTAGACTTCACCTAAGCAAATTAATTTCTTACCAATAGGACTAATTATACTGAAAGTATTAATAATCAGTAACATTTGGTTATTTTGAAATATGAAAACTTCGAGAAAGTTGGAAATATTTAAACAAATGAGTTTTAAGATACAAAACACAAAATCATTGAGAGAAGACTAATATGAAATTCATCTCTAACGACTTCTTTGAAAAATATTTTTGAATGAGTGTTAACATACAAAAACCAGCAATGGAGCTTGATACAAAGCAAGGATTAAAACAACGTCAAACACTGATCAAAGTAAGAATGCTTCTTTGAGGTTGTTCAGAATAAGAGCGGGAATGCAAAGGAACAGGAAATTATACATGTCAAGAAAATATTAAGTCACAGAAAGTCGCAGGGAATTCCCAGGAAGCAGCTGCAACAATCAACAAACTAAACAGTGTGCATATGGTCAACCTGGTGAGTCACTTTTTAAGTAGTATTTCCCTAAGCCTATGTTTAGTACGCATTGACTAGGTTTACAGACATCCGATGCTCCCGGACTTATCAGTTGAAATAGCAAAATACGGTTATTGTAATCATTTATTTTCCAGCTTTTAAACTCCAAAAGTAACCTTGTTTTCATTCAATGACTTATTGCCAAAGAGTCACCTAAATACACAAGCCTTCAGGAACCCATGTAGACACCTCAACTTGCTTTACCAACAGACTAGGGAAACTTCTTCCTTTCCCTTGTGATGGACTATTTTTTTATTGAATCTGTAAGTCTCATGTAGCAGGCCAGCTGTGTTTTCATGACTCTTCTCAGTGGAGAAACACAGTGACTACGGATGCCCGTGGACATACTTTTTTAGAGGCTGAGGAACAGTAGTTTGTCCTTTACACTCTCCTTCTCTATGTCCCATAACTGCATTTCTGTTTCTTGCAGGCCTGCATTTTCGTATGTTTATTGATCTTGTGACAGTCCTTGGAATGCATGAGTTTTCCACATCTTTTAAAGAAGGTTCCAGAGTGGCTCACTGAGGCCTGATGGAAGGTTGGAGGACTTAATGATTTTTTTTTTTTTTATGTTAGTTAAAGGCCGAGTAAGTGCACGCATAGGAAACGTATGCTCTTTAGATTCTTAAATACATTTTTATGAAACTAGATTTAATCCCTGCTTGTACCCAAATGTTGATCCCCAAGCTAATACTAAGAGATGACTCAGTAATGGAAGAACGAAATATTTGTCTGAAGGAGGATGAATGCATCACTTCTTAACGACAAGTACAGACTGATCTTATTGTTAAGAGAAACCCAAGTGCTGGAAAACAAGGGAGAGGGGGTGTTTCCTGAGACTCAGAGCAATGTTCTCCCTAATAGAATTTTGAATTGTGGAGAAAGCTTCTAGGTCCTTAAGGCTTTCATAATGGACTTCTACTTGTTGGATCTTTCTCTCTAATACAGCATCAAGGCTATTGCTTTAGGTCCTAGTTCAGGGAGCTCAATTAGCTACTCCTCCTTGTATGCTCCATTCTGCCATCAGAGACATTAAATAAGAGTGCTGAACTTTTCACAAAGCAACATGAACTTCCATAATCTTATTTTCTCATTCATCTGTGCTTTTTTAAACTGTCTATACAGATTTTCATTAATTCAGTTATTATCATGTAAGTGGATCACTTGTATATCTCTCTCTCAACAGTATGTCATGTCCCCAAACAACTCTATATCCTTATTCTTCTGTTCTAATACAATATTATGGGAATATATATTTATATGCTATTCAATTTCCTAATAATTTATCATTCCTGCTAAACTGTATATTTCTAGATTGAAGTATTAAGCATGTTTCCCCTCAGTATCCTATAAATACCAATTTAAAAGACAGATAGACCCATAGCAATGACAAAACATTTGTATACATAATACCAAAAAAGCCAACACACCCATTAACACTTTCAGGCTTACCGGTCCATGGCATGTGAGTAGTCCATCTTCCATCTTCTCACATTGGGAGTCACACTCAACACAGATGGAACCATTTTCAAATTCTCGAAATTCCCTGTGAAAATATCAACTGCGTGAGGAGGTGTAAGCAAACAAGCTATCAACTTAACAAATGAGGCAACATCTGCTAAGAGTCCTACTGGCAGTGTAAATTCTTGAGTCTGTTTCGCTAATGTGCCAGGAGCTACAGATGCATTTTCCTATGCATTAAGGAGGACACTTTCTATGAAAAGAAAAGATATACAGCAGCCATATGGTTCTCCTTGCTTCTGATTGGATTCAACAATTGTCTCATTCTGGAAAACTCTCTCCTGTCAGAGAGATTCTAGTACTTTCCAAAAATAGAAAATAATCTGTTTTGATGACACAGCAGAATCACTTTTACCTCTTTGAGTATGACTGCATCTGCTTGTTTCTATAAAAATTATTACTCTTGGTTGAAGGTTGCATTTCTAAACCACTATAGTTTTTTAATTTGCTGGGCTACATAAATGTTTTCCAACCTTGTCCTTCAAGGTTGCAAGACTATTAAACTTACTTTTGGTTAAACTTCAAAACAGGCTTTGATTTCTTATCTTCTTTTAAAACATCTGCCTTAGAGAATTAGAGAAAAATATCTTTTTATGCTAGATTTTATTTTCTTAGATTATTGATCTAATATCACAAAATTCCTTTTAGTCTAAATTCTTTTTGAAGTAATTCTGTAAGGAATAACACAAGAAATAGTTTATTTTAATGTATATGGTGGAAAAAATTTATTATTATAATCTACCATGATTGTGACTGTCTCTTTTTATATCACTACATTTTCTGTCTATTTATATATTATAGGTTTTAAAGATATAATTATTGCATTCAAAGTCTAATATAAATATTTTACTTTGATAATTGAAAACCAATCATCTATACTATGTTAAAACTACATTGTTTTCACTAAAATAAAAATAAAATATTGGGTAAAATAATTTAGTGTCACTTAGAAGTCATTAACAAAGTAGGTCATTAACTAAATTTGTATATCTAATTTATTCATAATTTTTGTCTTTGTTTCCTAACCCATCTTTTTAAATCAATACCAACATGAATAGTGTAATTATAAATCAATTAGATGATAAATTCTGAATTATTTTCTTTCCTAAAGCTATCACTACGTTTTTCCTCATTTAAAGACATAAAGTCTTAATAAGCAATGGAATTCCACAGGGTAAGCTGTATATTCTGTTGGTTAAATTAATTCTAAATCTAGATTTCTATTTTATTAATTTCTGAAATTAGGGTATAATTTATTGGGCTTCCTTAGGAATTTTCACACATATATGCCATTATGCTTTCTTCAAAGTGAAAGGAGTTAAATATGGTTTCAAAAAATAGAGCATTGGTAGAGGTAGATTATCTGTATAGGGCCGACACATTTAGCTGCATTATTTTAGTACTTGTACAGTCAGATATTAATTTGTTTTAGATCAAATCTTTAATGAATTTTCTGGTTTGAAACCTTAGTTATAAAAACAAGCCTTCTTTTTATGTTTCATTAACTATGAGAGACAGAAAGTACTTAGCTGAGGAAGTCTTTAGAATAAAAAGTGAAAGTGACCCAAAGGGAGGGTACTTAAATCTATGACAAGTTACAAATAATGTATAATGAAATTTTAAGAGAGATACCAGTTTGAGATAATAGAGTCTTTGGCCATTAAAGGGTTATGGTGGCAAATGAAGGATGTAAATTGCTTGCTATTAACATAGTCTGTGTTTTTCCCTTTCCTTTACCCTGTGCACCTCTCAGCATGCCTAGAAAGAGTAAACACAATGCCACAAGAGTAATGGAGAGGGGAACACCTTTCCTTCCTAATTTCATTACATGGCTCCTGACTTCTTGCTGCTTTTATCAGAGCTCCTCCCTGAAGTCTTGGAGAGTTACTAAGCCTTTGATCACTGTTTTTTTTTTTGTTTTTTTTTTGTTTTTTTCTGATAATTTATTGTCTGGGTGTGTCCAGTACTAACTAGGGGGTGGAAAGCACCCCTCTGTTATTTATTAAGTGGCACAATGTTATTTTTTATTTATTTTTTAATTTTTTTTATGCCGAATGCCCTTTATTGAAGGAGGGAAGAGGTCTTAAATACAGGCTTACAGCACAATGGGAGAACCCCGGAGGGCAGAAGTTCGCTACAGATGTTTTACAATCTTGCATCTAAGCTGTTAACGCCCATTATGCAGGATACACAGACAAGGAACTTCCCTTAAGCATTCAGGAGGGTGGAACCCGGCGGGAAATTAGCATAGGGAGGATATCAAGGTCAAGGTCAGCAAGCAAGGCAACAGTTACCCAAAACGGGGGCCAGGACCCTGCAGGTCCCCCTTTTACTGAAAAATGAACTAAACACAATGCCACAAGAGCAATGGAGAGACGAGCACCTTTCCTTCCTAGTTTCATTACATGGCTCCTGACTTCTTGCTGCTTTCATCAGAGCTCCTTCCTGAAGTCTTGGAGAGTTACGAAGCCTTTGGTCACTGTTGTAGCCACCATTACTCCTTCTTATTTCACATGCCCCAGTGACTCAACCATGGTTTTTGCAGAGTTCCCTTTACGTGGATGAGTCTTAACAAATTACAGTCTATGATACCAATGTGCTAGCATTGTCAGTATTTGGATCCAGAGTGAATGCTATAAAACTGAGGCTCTAAAATCTACATCTTACACCAACAGTAGGATTGGAGAATTAAACACTTGACATTTAGTTTACTAAGTATCTTCTATAAAAGGAAAAACCATGTTTTATTCAGGTATGATTTTTAAGTATGTAATTTCTATCAAAGACCATTGACTGGCACACTGATGGTTTTGTGTAGATCTCAAGGACATAGAATGTATGCTAGATAGGAAAAGCTTTGGGGTTTCAAGGTTCCATTATAACTACCATCTCTCCAATTTTTTTTTTTTTTTGGTTTTTCGAGACAGGGTTTCTCTGTGTAGCTTTGCGCCTTTCCTGGAACTCACTTGGTAGCCCAGGCTGGCCTCGAACTCACAGAGATCCGTCTGGCTCTGCCTCCCCAGTGCTGGGATTAAAGGCGTGCACCACCACCGCCCGGCTTCCATCTCTCCAATTTTGATTGTTCACTGTAATTATTTTCTCACTTGAATTTGGATATAAATTAGACTGAATTATTTGACTTTCTTTTTGCATATACATGCAAAAATCTTGTATTTATAAATAGACTTATAATTTTTATACATGTGTATTTGACAGGTTTAATCAGTTTTTAAGATAAAGTATTTTACTCGACGATTTAATAAACTGAGATTAACTGATAAATGGGAAATCATGATAATGATATACACAGCAAGAACTTGAACAAGACTTTATTAAGCACCTTTCACTTCACATAATCATAAAGTTGGCACCAATATTTCCACTTTTCATATAAAAATCAGCTTTAGCCAATGAAGTTGGCATGTGTCTCCTAGGCCCAGCCACTGTAGAATCGAGGCAAGAAAATCAGGTGAGACTAGAAGTTTAAACAAGCTTGGGCAACATAACAAGTCCTCAGAGAAGGAAGAAATGGAGAGAGGGAGGAAGGACGGACAAAAGAATGGATGGAAGGAAGGAAGGAAGGGCAATAAGGATGGAAGAGTAGGTGGGGGACAGAAACAAAAAAAAAAGAAAAAAGGAAAAATTCAGTATAAAGTTAAAAGGCAGACTCATTTTCCTCAAAGACAACCATAACCAGCTACCTAGGCAAGACAAGAGAAATCAGAACACTGAAGATGGGGGAAGGTTTGCGAAATCCTCATGGAGCAGACAAGAACTGAAAACAAACTTTAGTATGCTTTTAAAACAATTATATTTCATGAGTTTTACTGTAATGAAAAATATTTAATAATTTAAATTTCTTTGACATATTTTATTTAATGCAGTGAAGCTAGAGGTTGTTAAATCCAAAAATAAAAGTAAAAAAAGTCTAGCTGATTGGGCTTCAAGAAGCCACTAGTTTTTGTTGTTGTTGATGTTTGTTTTTGTTTTGCATCCATTAGTCTGTAGAAATGCAACACAGAATTGAACATATAGCTATGTATTTTTATATTTTATATTTCAGACAACAGTAATACTAGAATACTTAAGAAAAAATAACATTCTGGAAAGAATCAGACTGCCTGTACTCTACTCCTCACTTGATTATCAGTCAATCCATGATTTTAGCTGATACTATATTACATCAGTCCTCATTGTCTATCATGTGCTGCTGATAGAGAAAATGATTTCTCGATACCCATCACCTAAGAAATACATGCCTGTATGATAATCTCTTTCTGCAGCTAACTTGAGCTTAGTGAAATAAATTCTGGTAAAATTCACTTTAATGACATCATTTGCTAGACAGGTGTGTATTTTGATTTGAGGTACTTTATTTAGGGGACTATCCTTCCATAGCAATATGAAGAGGCCTGAATACAATCCCATGGGGCAGGATCTATTGATTACCAAAGTTACAAGCTGGTTATATCTTACAAAGTTCTAAGCTGAACTATTTCCTATTACTAAATTCTTATTTTAAGTTACTTTTAATGTAAAATTTGGTTTTCATCTGTTACCTCATTTCATAGAGAAAATTTTCCTGTGTCATTTTTAAGAATATATGTATATATATATATTATATATATATATATATATATATATGTGATAAACATATTTTTATAGTACAAACATGAAGTACAACACTAGTGGTATCAGCTATCATGAAATTAGTTGTCAAAATGAGGAAATTCATGAAGAACATAAGAAATGAAACAAAGACCTTCAAAACTGTAGTTTCCAAAGCTGCCAAAAGTACTTTCATTGAGCTATATGAGAAAAAACTGACTTAGGAACACCCTGAGAAATGTATTACCACACTGATAAAGGGCAATTATGATGCATAAAATTGTGCTATGAGAGAGAGTGTTTTTTAGGGGCATGAATGCCACAGTAGAGGATGGATACTAGGTTTTCTTGCAGGCAATGTGATGATTGCAGAACCAAAGGAAATTAAAAGCACTGGTTAAAACACTGCTTTTTAGAAAGTGGCAGAGTACATTTCAAATGCTCTCCAATCACAGATGCAGTTTTTCTACAACCCTCACCGGTAGTCAAAGACACAGAGACATATGCTGTTTCTGAGGTGGAGATAAGGCCACTCAACCCGGGTGGAGAAAAATCAGGGGCTCTACCATCACTCTAGGTGAAAAGTGGAAGGAAGTTTTAGGAGGAAAAGCTGCAGCAGAGTGCCAGGTGTCGGGAAGCAGTTCTCAGCCTGTGGGTCGACTCCTTTGACAAACTTTTATCTCCCAAAATATTGACAGTTATGAAGTAGCAATGATAGCAATTTTATGGTTGAGGTTGCATGCTGCATATGACAACATGAGGAACTGTATTAAAGGGTTGCAGCTTCAGGAAGGTTGAGAACCACTGGTGTTGGGGGAAAGAAGGCTATAGCAATCTACCTCATAATGCAAACTAAAAATTGAACAGTTTTGCTAACACGTAAGATGGTAAAAAATTACTGGTATTTATCTGTCTTGGTAAACGTCTTTAAAAATGTGCAAGCTGGTCAGTACCAGACTTCTTCTTATTTCAAGTGAAAATTCGTTTTCCTTAAAACAACTTTGTATCTCTCCTCTTGCATCACAAGTACTCTTGGAAAATCTTGATAAACTCCTTCTAAATTCTTGCCCTTTTTCTAAAGCTCAGATTTTTGCTTTCATCAGTAGCTCATAGCTCATGAGTTTAAGGTGGCATTGTGGTCTCTTACCCATCATATAGGTTACAAGACTCTATGCAGATTTTCCCCCTGCTGAAGCGCCGGCATGATAGGCACTGGTCTGGCCCAGGTCCCCAACAGCCATCATTTGAACACAGGTGATTGCACACCATCCCTTCAGCAGCTGCAAGACACACCAAAATCAACAGGAAATAAGACAAAGGATATGTTAAAACTTATCATCCATTGTAAACAAGCTGAATAGCATTTTTTATTAAAAAGGATATTTAATTAAAATATAATTACATTTACTTTCCCCTTTCCCTGTCTTCCCTTAAAATCATCCTAAGTTCCTATTTTACCCTCTCAAATTGTGATGGCATTTTTTGATTATTACTGTCACACACACATATACATAAAATATGAATACAATGTGCTGAATAGTTTTCAATGAGTTAGTTTAAGAGTTAAGGGTCAAACTACTGTGGGTGCCTGCCCAATTGCCATCCTCCATTCTTCCTTCAACTTCTTCCACGTTGCACAGTTGCTATATAACTACAGCAAAGTAGCCTTTTCCACAAGTTTAAACGAAATCCTTTTATCTAGTTAAACACAAAGGGAGAACAGGTGGTTGATACAAATTATCCAAAGTAAAGAGCAAAAGATGCCTTTTCCAAGCCAAAATTTTGTTTCACTAATACACCAAATACACCTCCTTTCAACTCTATATGAGGGGTTTTAGAAAAAGGTAGAAGAATTATATCATTAGCAAAATAATTTTTTAAAGTAAGGGCCAGTGAGTAAGATATAGAGAATATAGGAAGACATATAGGAAGACATAGAAATTGACCATATGACCTTGCACATACTAAGCAAGCACTCTATTACTGAACTATACCCCCAGTCTTTGACACAGGATCTCAATAAGTTACCTAGGCTGGTCTTCAACTTGCTCTGTAGTTCAAACTGGCCATGATCATGTGATTGCCCTATGTAATACCTGAGAGTTTTATGCCTAGACCATAGTATAGCATTTTTTTGTGGTTTAGATTTTGATTGGAGAAATACCAAAGACTTTGGAGGCCTTGTTTTAGGTTTTCTACTTCAATTTCACCATTGGTGTTCTTATTTAGAATGAACATTTATTCAGTATGGTATTAATGCATAACAATTTTATTAACAGGATGCAATGTATTGAATAAGAACAAAGACTTCAATTCCTGGTCTACATATCTGAACTTACCTTAGGCATCTGGAGTGTAGCATGACTTTCATGAAAAGTTAAGAATTCTCAAGATAAAAGTGAAAAAAAATCTTCCCTATCTTTTCATTAGTCACCAATTTTACCAATATAAAACTTTTGTATGCCATGGAGTCGAGCTCCTAGGATACACACAGGGTACATAGAATAAACCACAGCATAGAAAAATCTAATTTAGGATTTTCTTATCTCAGGGGTATTTCTAGAGCATCAAACTTTTTTATCTGTAGGTCTTTATAAATAAGTTTCTATCTATTTGAGGGAAAAAGAGTCATACATGTTCTGTGGGTCAATTTCTTTTACTCTAGTTCTAATTTTTCTCAGCTCTGATTCCCTAGCTCTTCTTTCTACATCGCTATATACACATTTCTAACAGGAGACTCTTGCAATAATGAGAAAAGTTACAAGGCTAACTCTCAAGGTCATTGCACATTTCTTGAAAGATAATAAGGAGCAAATCCATTTACCATGGCAACACATAGGTGGGAACATGGTGCTTGGCACATCCCCTGGGCAGTGGAATCTTTAGGTAGCTGGACATAAAACTATTTTTCTCTGAACTGGGTTAATTGGTTAGTTATTATTTGGGACCTAAATAATAACCAGTTAGTTAGTTGGAACTTGAGTTTTATATCATAAACTGAGATTAGAAGTTTGTGTAGAGTATTAATTGCTAAAAGTATACTAGGGAAAGCTGCTGGTCCCATTATCAATTGGACCTGGCAGGGGAAGCTAGCAAGCAATTCAGGTCACTATTGTCTCTGAAGGACTTTGATTCAATAACCCAGAAATTTTGTAATTCCATCCTTGAGTATAATCTGTGAAAGTCCAACTAGCGATCTATCCACAGACACTGTGTCTGGCCAATATGCCCTGTCAGCTTAGCTAATCATAGAGAACAGGCTTCTCAGTCTTACAGTCCAAGAGAAATAATAGATCTAGATATGAAGCATATTCTATATTTCTATACATCAAAATTATACAGCTTAATGAGAAGTCATCTTCCTGACCATCCATAAGTATATGTGCCCATAAGATTGAGATGCAATCATGAGATTACATATACACTTACATGAAAATACATGGTATCGGGGAGATACCATAGCTGCTTTTGCACATGGGAAATTACAGACTGAAGCAACAGTTTTCAGAGTCAGTGATCCATAAGCCTTGCTTCACTAGGTTATCCCATTAAAGACTTATTCACCTAGTGGTTTGACATCTGAATTATCAATTGCTGTATGCTGCATTTGCGTCATGGCCTGCAATAGCTCATGACACAAAACATGGGTTTTCAGACAAGAGCATTTGTGATTTGTGTTTGGATAGAGTGAACATGAACTGCAAGCATACCAGGTATCATGAAAATCAACTCCTCCAGCATATACTTGAGTAAGTAAGCTGTTTATATTTTCTTGTTGAGTGGTTTAAAAACAACAAACTAAACTGTCCAATTCACATCACCTTTGCTCAAATCCTAAGACTAAGGGCTACTTACTTTAGTCCATGTCATATATTAAGATTGACAGATTTACCTAGACACATTTATACTTTATACTTGTGTAACTGAATAATCTTTCCTATACTTGTTAAAGAGAGGAACATTGATCTGTATGAACATATGACACTGGTGTGGTTCAGATATAAAGTTTACCTCCCACCAGAGTTGGCCAGCAAAGGCTAGATATCTAGCTGGTGATTTTATTGACAAGTGATTGGATTATAATAGTACAAGCTTCATCATTGAGTTAATCCATTGATATCTTTTCCTTTTTTTGTATTCAAGTATTTATGGGAGTATATTCAAAATCGTCAAAACCTGGAATCAACACAAGTGTACTACAATGAGTACTCAGATTAACAAATTGTAATATAAAATCTAGAAAAGAAACAAACAAACAAAACCACTCGTGAATAGATTCATAACATGGATATTTCTATAAGCATTATATAATGTGAAAGAACCTTAACATAGAAGATGGCACAATGGAGTGTTGAACTTATAACTTTGACATAATGACTGCAGATGTCAGTAACTGAGATTGGAAAGGTTAGTGAGTACTGAGGGACAAAAGGAAGTCATCAATGTATTTTTTCACTGGCATTTTATAATTTAACTATACAAATTACAAAATAAAATGCAAAGATATAAAGAAAAAGTCAGAAATTAAAAATTAAAACCATTTTGTGGTATAAGAATTTAAACTCATGTCCTCAGTTAAGTTACACTCTCAGCTGCTTTTAAAACTTGAAAATTAAAAAAAATCTAAAGCAATAACTTTATATCCTTACATATTCTCACAAACACTAATTGTATATTCATTCTTTTCTTCATGCTCTATTTTGTTATTAAATGAGAATGGCCTCTAAAGGCTCATGGCTTGGAATGCTTGGTCACTATAGAGGGGCACTATTTGAAAGGATTAGGAGGTTTGGACTTGTTGGAGGAAGTGTGTCACTGGGGGTGGGCTTTGAGGTTTCAAAAAGCCCATGCCAAGCTCAGTGTCTTTATCTTCTTTCTGCCTGTGGATCTAGATGTAGAACTCTCAGCTAATTTCCAGCACCATGTCTACCTGCATGCCACCATGTTCCCAACCATGATGACAACAGACTAAACCTCTGCCACTGTCAACAATCCCCAATGAAATGCTTTCTTGTAGGAGAATTGCCATGGTCAGCACTTCTCTTCATAGCAGCAGAAAATTGACTAAGAAAATTGCTGATTAGATTATAAAATTATTTTTAGATCTACCATGAATATGGTAACAATAGTTAGATAAAATATTTTCTGCCAGTACCTGATTTATTGATTCTATCATTCTTGGGGAGAATCTGTGAACTAAAATCTCCTCAAAGGAAAGATTAAGTGGGTTATTCCCACCTGAAGCTATGCACTGGGCCAAAGAAGATGATGTTCCATAAATAGAGAAGGACTGGTTTTCAGTCAAAGGTATACAAGTAGCTGTGCTCCCCTACTAGAACCTCCAAACAAGATCCTATTAATGTCTTACTACTGAATGGGCTAGCTATTAGAAAAGGGGCCTTAGTTGAAGAAAGAAGATGTTCACTGGTAGTGTACCCTTGGCAGGTATAACTTTTATACAGCCCTTCTCTCTCTCTCTCTCTCTCTCTCTCTCTCTCTCTCTCTCTCTCTCTCTCTCTCTCTCTCTTTCTGCTTCCTGGATGCATAGAGGTGAACAGCTTTATTCTGGTACATGCTCCTCTCCCCATGACTTTCTGATCCCCATTGGATCCAATGGTTGATTAAGATTAAGATTTCTGATAGTGTGAGATAAAAATAAATTTTCTCCTTTAATGTGATTTTTATAGAGTATCTTAACAATGAAAAGGATGACCAGCCCAGATATTATAAAATCTAAAGTTTACAACTTGTTATGCTATGTATACACAATTACAAACTACTTCCACTGTCCAGAAATAAATGTATTGATCATCTGTAAAAGATTTCATTTCACCTATGGAACCAATCATGCCTGCTCATCTCCTTCAGACAATCCCAGGTTACGTCTGTTACTATGGTTATTTGTAGTTCAAAAAATTTTCTATAAATGGAGTTGTATAGTATGCTTGTCTTTTATTACATTTATTTCACTCTATGGAATTATATTCAGAATAGTTCATGATGTTTTATTAATAGTTCACTCATTTTTAGCCCTACATGTATTTCATTATGTGTATACATTATATTTTTCCTAATCCATTCACATAGTTGTAGATATTAAGGGAGTTTTCCATTTTTGGCTATTAGAACATACCATATTATGAATATCTATCCAAGTTACAGACAAAAATTTTGTGTTTCTTGGGTAAATACTTAGATATAAAATGACTGAATATTATGGCAAGCCATCAAAGTAACTGTCAAATTCTCATCCAAAGAAGTTTTTCCATTTATTTTGGTT